TCTCTCTCTCTCTCTCTCTCTCTCTCTCTCTCTCTCTCTCTCTCTCTCTCTCTCTCTCTCTCTCGCCAACTCGCCTTTCAGTTTCTCCTTAGTCGATTTCGTAACGTTGACGAAGAGCAGAGTCGTTCCGCCGCGCCGGTGCAGAATTTATCGCGTCGCCATTCGCACTCGTCTTTTGTGTGTTGCATTCTCGGTGAATACACGCGCGTGTTACCGCGTACCGCCGCGGATCGCTCAGTTGAGAATGACACCATGTAAAGCAGTCGTCTGCCGAGCTTTTTCCCCATGCGACAGGATACGCGATATTAACGCGTTCCTCCCCTTCCTGCGCATCGCGTTCCATGTGAACATTAATTTCTCCATGCTCGTTTCTCCTCCCTGAGATCGCTCCTCGAAGTCCGTTTTGGAGGTCTATAATTCGCAACCGAATCCGATTCTCGCAACTTCGCAAATAGGACTTTGCGAGACAACACTCTCGCGAAAAAGGAATTACCTTTAATACATCCACAAATCTTCTGAAACGTGTTCCACTCTGTACGTTTGCATCGCGCGCTCATAGCACCCAATAATATTAAATTCTGCCTCTTTCGTACTCCCGTCGCGAAATTATCGATCGTCTAAAGCGAGCTTTGATTTCGTGACTTGTCTCGAATGTAGAGCGCGCTTTCCGCTAAATAGGTGTCGAGTATCTTGCGATCTTAATCTATTCCTTGAATTTCAACGACAGGTTACGACGGTACTTTGATGGCCGTTTAGAACTCAAACGGTCGCTCCTCTCTCTAACGCGCGGCTAATGATGTTATACGTCAGTTACCGTTTGGCTATTTCAGTAAATTTAAATCATGTTACGTGACACATCTTGCTGTTAAACCCGAGTACCTATCGCGATCAGCCGGTTGGGAGAGTAACCTGTTGTTGTAAAGTAAGCTGCCGGAGTTGGTCGTCGAGGCTTTTAGTCGCGGCCGCGGCTGGAGTGGCAAATATAAAGCCGCGATAAAAAGAGACGAATATAAAGGGCGCGTTTCTTTCACGTCGAACTTGCTGAATGGACGATCGCCGGCGAGACTTGCCCGTCGACCGATGAACAAGGAGCTCTCACCTCGCGGCGCGTATCGTGTTGCGTTAATTTCCTACACGAGGCGGTGGAGTTGAAGGAAACGAAGTGGAGCGCGTTTACCTTAGCGTGCGGAACACGTCGACTGCGTGTCGATCGCGTATCAAATTGCTCGGCTAAAAGTTACACTGCAATGTAAGCACGATCTTCTGTTTGCCGACAGGAGATCACATGAAACTTTAATGGCCGCTATTTACACGTGAAGGAAATTCAATAAAACGGCGCCGTGCGGCACCGTGATATTTTATTTAGCCGCCGACGCACGCGCATTATCCGATAAATCCAGAATTCGGATAATTAAATAAGAATAAGTTGTCACTTTCGTCTGACAACTCGATCAAAGCGCCGGTGAGGTATAAATTGAGCGAACAGTCGTCGCATATTTTCAGCATCCGACCTGATGACCCGGCAATGCCCTAATCTCGGTCGCTACGAGATCGTGTCGTTGTTCCGGCCGCCAAACGCCGACAACGTCGAAGACATATTGGCCGTCGACGGCGAGCAGAACGTTGCCAACGCGGCGGAAGTGCACGACGTGAGAGTGCCCTCCACGCCATTTCCAAGGCAGTGCCATCACGGCAGCGTGCGTAGACTGGACATCGGTTGCAGGACACCCGATCGCATGGAGTTCGCCACGTCTTGCAGCGACGAGGCACTATCCGGTAAGAAGTTTTCCGCCCGCCATACGCGATCGCCTTTCACAAATAAATTACGTGGCTTTTAGAATACACATTGTTTCACGCCTCGAATCTTTCGCAATTATATTTCGCGAGATCTCGGGGCAATTACACTGAGAAAAGTCTTTGAACATTTATTTGTGGGATATAAAATTTATTCGACATAAGGTTAATTTCTGCGATAAACTTTTGTTCCACACAATTTTCAAGTATTTTTTTCCCAATACAATCGGTCATACTTAATCCTTTGTGTGTCGCCTTTGCTTTCTGATGTTCTTGCTGAAACTTGCTGTTCTTGCCAGAGGAACTTTTGTGAATATGAAGGGCTTCAGCGAAAACAGGCCATAACAAAGATATAAAAAGGACATTAGATATAAAAACAAAGTAAGACATAAAAAACATAAAAATCTCCTCTAAGAGCTGTATTATTATTTTTCTTAATAATAAATATGTAACAGTATATGTAGTTACCGTAACTGATATCACCAGTGATTTAAGAACAAAATACTTGAAAACTTATTTGTGAGATATAAAGTTTGCTGCGAAATAAAGTTTATTTCTATGAAATAAATTTTTATCCCACGCATAATTTTTCAACTATTTTTTCATACAAGTATACACTGAAACAAAAATATGTAAAAATTAATGTAAAAATATATAAAAAGCATATAAAATTAATTTGTGAGATATAAAGTTTATTCACAGAAATAAACTTTATATCCCACAAATAAATTTTCAAGTATTCTTTCCCGGTGTATTTTGACGTCGAGTTGTGATAAACATGATTACGCTCTTCGGCACTCAAAGGGTTACAGTCGGACGGAAAATTGGGCGAAGGTGAAGCGCGATTCGGCAAACTTTTCAATTCTAAATTTACACACGGAATAGCTAACTATTTTGCGCGGCCTGCTTTTCTAGAATTAAATCCTGAATTTTCTCGAAAGTCTGACTTGACTTTATTGAGGGATTAAGCTACGATAAAGCTAAACTATTCTCAACGGCTAGTTTTTCTCTATGCTCTGAGCAGTTTTCTGTCCTCTCATAGTTTTATTTAACTGGCCGAAAGAAATCGGGCAGAGAGATACCTGATGTGTGACAGGAAAGATCCGCTTGGAACGACGAGTTTCGAAAGCGCTTGAAAGCTTCGACGGATCCTTGACGTGTGACATGGGTCGAGACGGTTAACTGACGTACTCGTCGTTCTCGTCGTCGTAGTCGTCGACGTCTTGTCCGACTGTCTTCCCTTCGCGTCTTCATTGCCTGTATCCGGGTCGTGTTCATCTTGTTTAAGGCGCACGTCTCGATATAATCTGCCGAAACACGAGACCAGTCATGCGCTTTCGCTATTTCTCAAATGAAAATTAACCCTGATTTATTATTAATTTTTCCGAATTTTCGAATTGGACATTGCGCGTGGGGAATGTCTGTGGCACGTTGATTAACACACATTCACTACCACAGTTTATTTACAGGTCTCCCCACAGCTCTCACATTATATTTTTTTTTCTTTTACGCCATTTTATACAGACTTAAGCCCAATACCTACGGAGCATGATTTGAAGTTGTTACGAGGAGCCATGCATGCTACCAAGTTCGTTCTGTAGTGAGAAATTTGACTCCATGGGCTTCAGTTTGGTAATGTGGACATAGAAAAAAAAAGATTTCAGCCGTCACACATGTGTGACGTTGGTACGGAACGTGTTGAAACGGAACGCGGTAAAATTCTCGGTCGCTCCGTCACACAATCGCGCCGATCTTTTCAAGAAAAATCTTCCACCTCAGTTTTCCCCTGTCGCGCTCTGAAATTTGCAGCGCGCGAGAAATTTTCATCAAGGCTGGCGTTCCTGATTTTGCCGCGTGAAAAATTCATTCGGGCGCAAAACGCGCGTTTCCATGACGCGATTCTTCGTCTCAACGGCGCGGGAGAGACTAAAGGACTTGACAAGCAAGCGTCGATTTTTCCAGCCTCTTGGTAAGTTAACCAACAGATTAAATTACATGTCCGTCTTTGTCTCTTCTTCAAATTAGACAGAGACAGATATGCGATTTAACTGTTAGGTAGCTTAACAAGAGGTTGGAAAAATCGGCCCCCAGTCATCCGCGTCGTCCTCGATGGTGTATTCACAGTAGCTTCGTCGTACGGCGGATGGGATGTACGAGCGCGGGTTCCAAAGGCGACTCGACACGGACTGCAGCACGTCCGCCCAGGAACATCTTATCGGATTACCCGCACCATCCTCCCCGAGCCCGTCCCACTCTAGTTCGCGACCTAAGTTATCACAAGTGATGATAGTTAGTTTGCGGGAAGGCAGCGGCGTAACGGGAGTGTGAGACATCGCTTGCTTGTCTGCCCTAAGTCGGCCACACTTCGTTTGGCTCCATACATAAAAATGGAGAAACGCGCGGCGGCCGCGTCACTCGATTCGCTCATTCACGTCTGCAATTTCCGCGACACGCCATCTGGCCTCCCCTCGACGCGCGTTCGACGCGTTGCATTCTCTATCGTGAACTCGTGAGATATTTAATTAGCTCGCTTCTGGAATACGATTCGGCGGCATGCAATTTGAATTAAGAGCGAACGTCAACAAGAACGATCGATCTTTTCACAGCGACCGCATGGATTTTGTTCTTCTCTTCTCGTTTCTTTTTTTATGATACACTGAGAGCAAAGATCTATCCAAAAAATAGTAAACATTCATTTGTGTAGTGAATATCGGTAACGTATTTACTTAAATCTACACATTCTCTTATTTATAAATAGAATAAAAAATTACTTTCATGGAAAGCTAATGTTTCCTTGAGATTTCAGAAAATATATATTTTCTTATTTAAAGAATATTGGCTTAAAAAGTAAGTACATTATTAGTATCCAACGAATAAATATTTATTAACCTCTTAGATATTTTTTCCTTTAATATAGTAGAGAAAATGCGAAGCACGGGCGTTTATGGACGCGGATATAAGAGAGAATTCACATCTTGGCAGAAAAGCGGGAGAGAAGGCAGAAGCTAATCAAAACTCGCCCTGGTCAGATGGTAGTCTATAGTTTCTGCTTTTCTACCAGCGGGAGTTCCAGGTGGCTTTTGCCTTCTGTTTTTTTTTTTGCTAAGGTGTAAATTCTCCCTAAGTCGTTGAAGTGACGAGAGTGTCTGGCCATTTCCAACCCGGTATTCACTTCCCTGTGGATACGTAGCGGTCAGTTGATCGAGCAACGCCGCGTCAGAGTGCTGAAGTGATTACAGCAGAGACAAAGTCAGACGGTGAAAATTGCGCGAACAAACGCGTTTGATTGATTCGCATTGACCCGTCAAGAATACGCAAAATCAATGTTGCGGTGCGGTAAATATCAGCACGTTTGAATTTTTCTTTCTCTTCTTTTTTTATTAATGAGCAAGTAATCGCGCAACGATCTGCATTTCTCGCGAAAACGATCAAAAAGCGAGCCGCCATCTCTCCTCGCGCAGACGGCGAAATTTACGGTTTACAATATTAAAACTAGATTAGTTAATAATGAATTATACATATCAAGCGCGTTATTATAAAGAAGCCCGTTAATTTCGAGGGACGAGACATTTATGCACGGCCGGGCGAGAATATTTGCGTACGCCAAACAGCGTTTGTGTACGTCGACGTCGGCATAAACTGCGTATTCAGCTTGACGGCTCGACTATAACGATAATAATAAATTAATGTGATTTCGGGATTAAACGGATCTCCGGAAAGGTGGAGGCGCGCGGATTAAATGCCGCTCTCTCGCGAGGCATCGCGAACGATACGGCTCGACGCGGCTCGCGCAATGTCGATTACGTCTCTTTGTAATCCGCGAGAATGCTGATACGTTGCAGAAGCCAGGCGGCGAAGAGCGGCCGCGCGGTTGAGAATTATTTTAGCGTCGCGAGTTACCGGAGACATGTTGACATAAGCGAGGATTAGGCACTCGAGAGCCCGGTGCGCTTCGCGACACGGGTTTGTATTCTAAGGCATAGATAGCGACGACAGCGACGACGACGACGACGACGACGACGACGACGAAGAGAAGACAAAATGGCCATTAAGACTTCGTATAAACAGCGCTGCCACTTGGTCCGCGGCTTAGAGCGACGTCGGACATCGCGGTTTCTCGAGCGCGATTGTTAATCGCATCGTTTCGCTGAGTCTTATGCCCGTACCACTCTAGCTCATTGGTGTCCGCGTCGTGTTTGCGCCTCTTGACTAATCAGAAAGGAGCTGCTGACGATCGGCTGCTGCCAGTTCTCGACAATGTCGAATGAAATGCGCATACTGAGAGAAAAATGTATGATATTTGGAACTATAATGGCATAGTAAAAAGATTATAGTTAGGAATATTATTTTTATAGTAAATGTCATCATAATGTTTGTAATATTTACAATATAAGCATAGTATAATTGATCTATGTAAAACTTTTACCAAGAATTATAATTATTTGAAATAAAAAGTATAGTAAGGTAGCAAATATTGAATGGTAAGAGAAATTAACTATTTTATATAGTCAATACAATTGGAATATTTGGCAAATATAGGTACATGTAACTATATTCCCAAAGTGTGCTTTACTATACACATAGAGTAATAAAATGATGACTATAAATCTGTTCTGCTATATCTTCATGTTTATATGAATGTTTATATGAATGTTTATATGAACTATAAATATATGTTTGAAGCCAAAATAAACTATAAAATATAGTAAAATTATAGTTATTCCAATTATTTTTTTCTCTCATGCATGCGAAAATCCTATAATTCAGCTTATCGTGCACAATTATACACCAATCTTCTTTAATTAACAACTAGAACTAACACTTTACGTGTCAATTTGCAAAACAGTACTGTTTTGTTCACCTAATGACCTAATGTACAAGCAAACACGACGGCGCCACACTGAGGGAAAAAAATAGTTCGAATAACTATAATTTCACTATATTTTATCGTTTTGGCCTCAAACATATATTTATAGTTCATCTAAACATGAAGATATAGTAGAATGAACACATATTTATAGTCACCATCTTATTACTTTATATATATGGTAAAGCATCTTTTGGGAATATAATTACATGTACCTATATTTGCCAAATATTCCAATTGTATTGACTATATAAAATAATTAATTTCTCTTATCATTCAATATTTGCTACCTTACTATATTTTTTATTTCAAATAATTATAATTCTTGGTAAAAATTTTACACGGGTCAGTTATACTATGCTTATATTGTAAATATTACAAATATTATATTATGGTAACATTTACTATAAAATATAATAAATATAATATGGTTACATTTACTATAAAAATTATATTCCTAACTATAATCCTTTTACTATGCCATTATAATTCCAAATATCATACATTTTTCTCTCAGTGCATCATAGTTCATCTATCGCGCAAGATCACTTATCAATTTCCTCTAATTAATGACTCAAAATTGTGCGTGGGTGTTTACGCAATAATGGAGGAATTTTTTGTTCAGTTTGATGAGTTTACCTGTATACAACGGGTGCTTTATGAATTGTCAGACACTCTGTCTAAAAAGATTCGCGCTAAGAATAAAATTATATTTTATGAATTGTGCATGAAATAGTTGCGATCGGTGAACGCGCGATCAAATTGCCCCAGACCTGTCGTATCCGGAACGATAGCAAGGCGGCGAATTCCGCGCTCGTTTTGATACATCAATGTCCATACCATGGGCTTGATTTTCACCGAGCGGCATCATCGTGTCCGCTCCATCGTCGGACACGAGACGCGGTCTCGCGTTTCCTCTTTACGCGAAGTCACGAGCTGTCGGCGCGACCGCAGTAAATTCTCATCTTACTATCTTGCAACTACGATCGGGTATCGTCGCTCGAAACGTCAGCCCGTGATATCGATGTGTCGGAAGGATTTACGGCCCTCGTTTATTCCTCTTCCGTTCGCGCATTGTTACGGCCGGAAGGTGGTGGCAAGCAGGTGCCGTAAAAGTGATGACGTAAAAGTAGCTGGTCGAGCGATCGAGTCGCATCTCTTTCTTCTTCCGTTTTTTCCCCCTTTCTTTCTCTCTTTCGTTCTTTCGTCCTTTTTATCGGACACGTTAATTGAATGGCTAAGAGATCACGCTGAGTTTACCCGACAGCCAGCGGAATCGTTACGAGCGATAAATTTAACGACACAAATCTCGAACAGACGAGTGTTGACAGTTGATATTTTAGAACGACCCTTTCATTTGAGTGATATCGAGCTGATGGAGCGCGACACACAGTATCGTGTCAATATATTGCGTTGAGGAATTATAGGATCCTAAAAAATTAGGTAAAATTTGAAAAGAGGCATAACGAGTTATGAATTAGTAAGAGTATGAATTTTTTATATATGTCTATTAACAAGACCTTGATATAAAAGAAATAGATCTTATAGGGAAATATTAATGTCACTGTGTCAATTTCAATTCTGTTCCGCAAAGGAATCATGCTTCAACGTTAAGGATCCTGGCCTCAACATACAAATGATCTGAAATCAATATATATCAATATATTTCTTTCTATATAGAAATTGTTTTATTCATTAGGGTTATATAGGCTCACAAAGTGAATTTTGAAAGAAATGTTTTTGCGAAAGAAAAATTAATATATGTACAGGATTTTTATGGCATTATTTTGTAATGACGAATTCTCCGGACAATTTGCAGACTATTCTTCCTTAGCGAAAATGTCGTGGCAAGTAATCGCCTCTTGCTGTTGCTCAATTTTTAATATTTCGTATCTCTCTTCGCGACTAAGTCTTAAATTAAAATTTCATTCAAGCGAGCTCCACCTGCAATTAGCTGAAGATAGTCTTGGTATACATTTGATATACGAAAGCTACTCTCCGCGCAAAAAATAAGATATCGCGCCAGAGAAGAAAATATTTCGCGAAATGGAAGTAAAAAAAACCAAATTTAATATTTTCACTGAGAAATTCGAACTTGTAACATAAATAAAAGATAATTTTGAAACCTGTGGAAAACCTCCGTGAACCGACAAGTATAACCCTAATATAAATAAAAGTAATATATCGATGCTGACTTTAGGTCACTCCTGTTGAGGCCAACAAAACCTGTCCTGTAACTTTTAACGACAGTGTCGTTATTATTACTTTGTCGCATAATGCATGGTAGAAAAGCTGTGCAACGATACGCCATGCTAGTGACATTGTCTTTAGAAAGTTACTTTAATAGGGCTGCAGGATGGCTACCGTTGAAACATGATTCTTTTGCAGAACAAGATTGCGATGGACACAGTGACGTTAATACTTATCCTAAAGTCTAATTTTTTAATATCAATATATTGTCAATAGACAATACATAACAGAAGATTCATATTCCTATTAATTTGCAACTCTCCAAGTTTTATTTAACTTTTGCTCCCGTCAGAGTCGTGTAACCCTTTAATATCAATCGACCTCTCCTCTCTAGTCGCACTTGCGACTGCCACTTCGCGTGCAATTCTTTAGCGCGACCGAAATGTGATTGCGCTACGTGATTTTTCTCGACAGGAAAATCGTTTCTTGCCGAGATCCGCGAGGGGAAAAGAGGAAGAACGTTCACGGCACAGGTTAAACAACGGCGACGTAGAATAATATCAATTAATCTCGTTAAGGAGTTATGGCCATTTTCCAGTCGTTCGCTGTCAATTTCGCTCCGTGTGACTTGGCATGTTATTGTCGTGAGCCTTTCAAACGGTCTTAAGAACTTGGGCCGACCTTAGTTCGCGACGCGCGAAATTATCGCGCTATAATCTTGCTCCCCTCTCCCCTCCCCTGCCGCGTTCTCATGTGGTACTTAAAAAATTGGAAAATTTAATGCGACTTCGCGGGTGGCGGCCTTTACTTGGCACCCGTCGCGGCGAAGGCCGGCACAACAGGGCGATGTTTTTTTTTGGTTCCATCGGCCGCGCGCCGGTCATTTTCTCCAAGCAACGAGCACAAACGACGCTTCGTTTCCAGAGTACTTATGCCATGGAACTTGGGTTGAGAACGACACCGCTTACTTGGTGGCTAGCACCGACGTCGGACGTTACTGCCTCGTTTACAGCGCGTCCGCCGCGACGACAGGAAGTCGTGAACTCTCGGTGACGGGCCATCTCGCTTCCTGTCCGAGGGCCTCTCATCGCCATCCAGTCTCGTGGCAGGTTAACCTCACGTCGTACGGTGAGCATTGTTAATTCTGGATGCGACACGCGACTCGACTTACGGAAGTTTCGTTCGTGCTAGTTATAACTTGAGCGTTTGTAACTTTCGTTTTTTTTCACGTCTGCGTTAAATTACGTGTCTGTTCCGGAGGCTCTTTTGCATCGCGATCGTTCGATTAATCGCGATAACTAACCCTTTGGACCCGAGTCATAGTACGTCGCAATATCCACACGGAAAGGACGTTCTCTCTAAATTTGTTGGAGTGAAATTTCACTCGAAAAGTAGAGTGACATCCGAGGCCCTCGAATACGAGCGATTTTTCATTTCTGTAGAGTGAATCCTCTGAATCGTCGAGTGAATATTTTCACTCGAAACTGAAGAGAGTGAATGCGATGCATTCCACCGCCAGGGGAACGTATTCGATCGATTGAAACATCCGCTCACATGGAGTCAAAATCCACTCTAATCTTGAGTGAAACATTCACTCTTGTGATTTCGAGCGGTAGTATTTTCACTGTGGCCTCGAGTGAAAATATTGCCACTGTTTCACACTCAAAGAAATTTAGAGAGTTAGTGCAACTGAATTTTCTGTTACTTTTTTTGTTGTGGGGACCAGATGAAAAACTCGGTCGTAGGAACTAAGAAAGATTCCCGTAGCAGGTTTCTCCTCAGCCAATTGTTTTCAGTTATCTCGACTGAGTTTTTCTCGCAACTGAATGTTCAGACAAATGTTTTCGGTTACAGTAACGGAGACATTACTTCTCGCCGGCAAATTTTCCATCTGGTCCCCATTCAGTTGCCCGAACTGAGATTCTTTCTTTTTCCGTGCACCGTTGCATCTAAACTTTAGCTCTGATGATTTGCGAAACAATTTGCAAAACGATGAACCTTAAGTAAACGCCATTTTGAGGGCTTCAAAGGGTTAAACTATAATTACACATCCGAGCAAACACACTCGGGAAGAAAAGGGAAAGCTTCTCGCTCCGTTAGCACGCGTTCGCGCTCAAGTGGCACCGCCGGTGATGCAAAATTGTAGCCGCGAGAAGGAGCGCTCGACTTGTAGAATTGCAATTGGACGAACAACGATTTTCCGACCTCTGTTTCAGCTCAATGCGGCGACATCTCGTCGGCGACTGCGTGGGCGCTTCGGATGCCGGCGTCTCTCTTCAATGTCGTCTTCATCGGCGCGCTCTTCGCCAGGTACATCGCGAGGTGATGGCACTGAGTCGAGACGCACCGCTACGCACCGGCTGCGGCTGTATAGTTGAAAAGGAAAAGGAAAAAAAAACAAAGACTCTTATTGCGATATTGCGTTTGCGGGTGATTATACATAACGTTCTAGGATCGGGGGG